GATGAGGGCTTAGCTGCATTTGCAGAATTTCCCTCAAATGAAGTTATTTCAGATTCCTCTCTGTCCCTCTGAGGCTCCAAACTTTGAAAGAATGAAATCCATGCTGAGGAGTCTCGCCATGAAACTTGGGCACTAAGAGCCCTGGGAGAAGTATTTTGACAGAAATGATCAAAAGCAATACTTAGCACATTTATGAATGGGAGAAGAACATGCTAAAGCAGGGAACATGATGTTGTTTGTTGTTAAGAAAACTATCACAGGGCAGACAGAGTTTCAGGACTTTCTAAACAGTAATGGAGAGGAGGAAATTGGGGGAGTTTGGAGCGAGTTTTTAAATTTCTCTCTGCCTGACTTGAAGACTCTTATTTAAATGTACATTTGCATCCTGCCTCATTCCAGTGAGGATTTGAGGCAGCAAGCAAGAGTAGTAGTGTGCTTGCCTGTTAAAAAAGCTGCAGCACTGGTTAAGTGGAGTCACATTGTTGAGTTTGGAGAAGTTGACATCACTGAGAAACAATGTAGAAAACACGGATGTGCTTGTCACCAGTAAGGGCACAGAGATGGGCTGGGACCAGAGAAGTGAGGTAAGCAGAACCCAGGAGTCCTCCCTAGGTCAATGCATTTAACAGGCGTTCATCTACCACCTACTGTGAGTTAAGCACCCCAAGGAAGAGTGCCAAGAAGAGGAGAAGGAGGTCACTGCCCTTTGGGGATTCCTCACCCAGATGGGGCGTCCAGGCTTGGACACGGGAGAATCTGCCTGTGGCCTTGGGCAGTGTGACTGAGTGGGGACCATGAGGCTGTCAGGGAGGCGGGTTCAGGTCCTGCGCCGAGGAGACCCTGTTATGTAGAGAACAGGATGCAGGACTTCAGATGTGCTTTGAAGGGTAGTCAGAGAATAGGAGAGAAAGAGCAGTTTTAAAACTGTCTTTGCCATTCAAGAAAGAGGTCCACAGTGTTTGGCAGCCGTGCAGCGGGGGAGTGGGGGAGCACACCACCCCTCATTTTGCTTGTTGAAGCTGTTGGAGAGTAAAAGGTTGTGTCTGACCTCGCGCTGCTTCCTGACGCCCGCCTTGCTCAGCCTGGTCTGTTTTGCTACAACTGCTGCTTAGTATAAGATGCCATGCCAGTCCTCTTCCTGATTAGGTGACTTTTCATATCCTTTATGTGGTCAGAACCAGTCTGGAGGCAGTATAAATCCAAACCCTCCTTCCTCCCAGCTGGACAACCTTGGGCAAATTTCATAGGTTCTCTTAGCTCAGATTTTCTGCTCTGTGACATGAGTGTTTGTGCCCTTCACAGGAGAGGGATAAGGACCAAATGAGAGCTTATGCGACATTCCTGGCAGGCATATAATAGATGCTCAAGAAAAATGCACCCTTCCTCTGTATCACTTGCTTCATCTACTTGAGGGCTTCCCATCAGGGATTTTCTGTGAGGAAAGGAAAGAAATCCCAATAATGGTTTGTCCTCTTCCCTCCATTGCTGACTAAGGCAGAGTAGTTCAAATGTAAATCAGGTGGGTTTAGGATGGTTCCTGTAGGGCAGGAGGCCCATCCAGAAGACCTTCCCAGAGAAAGAAGGACCTGAAACCTATTCGCAGGTTTGCCTAAGTGATCTTAGCCCTTCCTTTCTCTGTGGGTTGGAAAGCTGAAAATCCAGGCTGGTTTCCTTTTCTTCCCTTTTGTCATGAACTGTCAGGTATTTAAAATCACGGCTGCTTTTTGCTTCTCCAAGTCCTAGTTCAGGCAACAGTGCTATACATTGAATAGCACTCTGTAGTTTACATCCAGTTATCATGCTAGAGGCTCAAGGAGGCAAGTTTCATGATCCCCAGTTTCAGATGAGGAGTTGAGGTTGCGGTTGGCTGGAGCTCTGAAAGATTCCAGTCCTCAATTTGTTGTTATTGTTATTTGTTGCACTTTTCAGAACCAAGAGCCACTGAGAGAGGAGGACTCTGACTTCATCCTGACTGAGGGTGATCTCACCTTGACCTACGGGGACAGCACTGTGACTGCCAATGGCTCCTCAGGCTCCCACACGACTTCCATGAGCCTTGAAGGCAGTCGGAAAACAAAGAGCAGTTCTGAGGAGGTGCTGGAACAAGACCTGGGAATGGGAGACCAGAAAGTTTCAAGCCGGGGCACCCGCTTGGTGTTCCCCCTGGAGGATAATGCATGACTTTGCCCCCAAACCCTGAAGTGATGGGGTAGACCCACCAGTGGTGGGGGTTGGCTGCATGCTCCAGTGTTGTTTGAGGTGGGACAGTGACTGAATGGAACTAACACTTCTATTTTACTGAGGTCTGAAGATATCTTAACATTTAAAATTTAACCCAAGATACAAATGGTAGGGCTCAAGTGTCTCTAAATCAAGACAAATGCACACCTATTCCCACTTTTTCACATATTAGTGCACTGTTCAGAGTTAAACAAACAAAAACAATCGCATGCTTTACTGGTCTCTTAATTCATTCACCTGCAGTACCTGAACAAGATTTGGTAGGTGCTGGGGATCCCTTCCAGGAGAGGCTTCATATCCATACACAGCAGTGCTAGTCCAGCTGGATGTAGGAATATCAGGTGAGAGAAGAACAGGCTAGAAGAAAGATTGTGAAGGAAGGCAAGTGAGATTGGACCTCCAAGGATTAGGGGAAGCTGTTGTTAAATGGGACAGAAAACATGAAAAAGCAATTTGACTGGAGGCTCGAGCAACAAGGGCTGTGTGATAGCAGCCTCATCTCAGGATTCCTGACTTCTTTTGCTACCTGTATTTCCTCTAGACTGAAGATTGGAAAATATATCCATCAACATTTCAACATCGGGGAAAGAATTATAATTTCTTCTCTGGAAATCTCCATAAAGAAGAAGTTACTGAAATGTTTAAAACCAAAGGCAAAATAGTGTTATACTGCTGTTTTTAAATTAATCTGAAGGCAAGAGAAACTGTTTAGAAACTGATGATGATATTACTGTAAAAATCAGTCAATCCTTGAGGGCTGCTATATGAACCGACTGCCTGGAAAATCATTAACAGGACTGAGATAGCTACTGTGGGTTTAGAAGTAACACCAAAATTTGTGGAGTGCTTTGATCTGGGGAAGAGAAGGGAGTAAGAAGCCTAGGAGGCAATAGGCTAGTATTCGGAGGGAAGAAATCTCACTGTGATAAAAACAACTGCAAAGAAAATACAAGGTAGTATTCTAAAGACTGAGCCGAATTCCAACTTCAAGCTAAGGAATGAATGAGATTTTAGTGGCCACCTGAAGAATCAGAGGTTAGTCAGTGGAATGTTAAGCTTTATTCAATCCAGTGGAAGGTTCCTATCCACTATAAGATTAAAAATCTAGACATCTTGACACTGAGTGCCATGTAGAGGAAGGTCATTTTCTTGTTATCCAGGGAGGCTTTCACCAGCTTAATGTGTGAGTGTGGTCTGAAATTTAGATTTTTAGTTTGGGTTCTTCTGTGGGTGAGCTAGTCTACCTGCCCACACTGGTAGTAAGTGAAATACTGAGAACTCTTAGAAATCAAGTTTGGGATTCTCCTTGTGCTCTATGCTTCAGTGCTATTATATTTGAAAACCCAATTTCTAAAAAATGCTTTCGTTTAATGTGGCCATTTTCCTTATAAAATAGTGGCCCAGTCTAGTGCACCCATCATGAAATCAGCCATTTAACCTTCTTAACTCACATTTTAAAATAAGACATTGGTTAATTTTTAAATAAGACATTGTTTCACACTTTGTTTTTCAATCTATAATTTGTGCAAATCAGGAAAAATGTATTAGTTTGAGCCATATGAAATTGCTGGTAACAATTTTAAAGAAAAAGAAATGACAATTTCATATGGTTCAATATAAGAGAACTGAATGATTTTTATTCCCTTCTTTCCTTTTTATCTACAATAAAGCCCATTTTGATTTGATGGTCATCCATGGGCTTTGTAAATTTGGGGGGAAAGCTAAATGTACCTAACCCCATCCTTCCACTATGCTAGGTGGTGAAAAGTAGGGTGCCACGAAGCCCAGAAACTATCTAACCCAAGGCTGACTATTTGCTGCCAGTCTGGCATAAACCAGACTGAAACTGCTGAGTAATGGTACATCCAACTAAGCAAAGTTCCTCTGAGAGGGTCATCCTGTCATCTTATGAACATATTTGTCCCGGGTTGGGGCGATAACAGTTCACCAGAGTCGGATGTTCTAGAGCAGAGCTTCTCAATCCTGGTTGCACATTAGGATTATCTGGCCCATTTATTAAAAATAGCAGAGGTCCAGATTCAGTAGTTTTAGAGGGGGGCCAGGCTTCCGCGCTGTGTTTGTATCCTCAGGGATTCTAATCTGCAGCTAGGGTTGAGAGCCTTTAGTCTATAACTTGCAGTGGACCCTACTTGAAATCTTAAAGAATGACCTAGCAAATTAAGTTTTTTTAAAAAATTGTTAGTCACGTGGAACACAATGAGTGTTGATCAGTAACACAGACTGGGTAGCTGCCAGTTTTGTGCTAATAATGTTTGCAGAATTCAAGAATGTACTGCATAAAGTACAACTGAAGAGAGGTCACATGTGAAAACCTTAGAGCATGAAAGGGAGAGAAGGATGATGAGTGTACGTATGCAGGGGGATTCAAACCTGTCTTCTTGGCCCTCGTTTGAAGGAAAAAAGGGGTTTTGTCTTAACTGACCTGCTAACTAATCAAATATGAAGGTTCCTGAGAAGCTGTCTTTTTCAGTTTAACCTGGAGTTAATTTAATAGCCCCCTTTGCACTCAAGTGAACTTTCTCTTCACACTTCGCTTGTCCCCATACCTGAGTCCACACTGGACTCCTCAGAATAGAGGTGGGCCCACTTACTGCCAGAGCACAGGCCCCATATTAAGTGGAAGGTTGTGATCACTTTGCTGTCATGTGGTGGTGGTGCTGGTAGCTGGTAATTAAGGAGCTGCAAACTTTTGTATAGCATTAACAGAGGGAAGATACAAACTTCTTCCCTTCCTTTTAATATTCTTTTTGGGGACCTGAACTTTCTCTCCTAGAGAAGAAAATTTGGAATTTAAATAAGGCTGCATTTCTTCCTGTGAAGCAAGTATAGGAAGGTATATGTGATTAAATGGACACTGACCAGCCTGGCTGGTGTGACTCAGTGTTTGAGCATCGACCCATGTAGCGGTTCGATTCCCGGTCAGGGCACATGCCCAGGTTGCGGGCTTGATCCCCAGTAGGGAGTGTAGGGGGTGTGCAGGAGGCAGCCAATTGATATTTCTCTCTCTCCCTCTCCCTTCCTCTCTCTCTAAAATCAATAAAAATGTATTTTTAAAAATGGCCACTGACCATCCAGGTACTTCCTGGAGTGACTGGACAAATAAGCATTGATGCCTTGCAGCCAAAAACTGCGCTGCAACATCAAGTGTTTCATCAAACACACAGCAAGGAGCTCTTTAGGCTGTGATCCCTAGACCTGAAAACGTCCTCTGTGTTTTGGTTGACAAAACAAGTTTTAGGAAACACTGAAAATGTTATCTTAGCTATCCATGAACATTTCAATCTAGGGCAAAGTTCCTTCCTAAATAGAGGTCTGTTTCACGGCCTCCCTCATCACCAATCACATCTTCCCCTTTCTCTGTCCATAGACAAAGTTGACGTAATCATGTTCGATATTTAATGTGAACAATGGCTCCTAAATGTATGCACTTAGGAGATGTATCACCGATGCACTTAAGAGGTCAGTGGCAGGGCAACTGAGCAACTCATCAGAGGGGAAATCATCTGCTTGGAAACCTACGTTGGTACCCATTGTGAGTTCTAACAGGTGTATGAGAAAGCTGATTTTACCATCTGTTGTCAAATGTAATCTGGAATGAGTGTTGCTGGAAAGTTAGCTTGCTGATTCAATAAATATCACTTCTTATTCCACTTCAGAAATGGGGAACTTGACAAATTTTGTGCCTGCCTTTGGTGTTGATTCTGTAGAAGAGTTAGTGTAGGAACTAGTCTGTCAGAAATTTTAGACTGGTATCATTGAGTTCTGACCTCTTCTGTTGTTTTTTTAATTGGGAATCTGGCTTTCCAGTGTCGTTTGTTATGTTCTGACACAGTAAGTTGAAAGAATCCAGTGGCCAAGAGTTAGAATTTAGTAACAACCCATCTGAATGCTGCTTTCATCACTTTGATACCTGAAAAGACCTTCTTCCTTTCTAAAACCTAATAACAATATGCAGAGAAATACTCTAGAAACCATTGCGAGTGTCTGACTAAGAAAAGCAAGGAGGATCTTTGACAATCCTTTCAAAACAAGATTTAGAAATAAACCATATATTTCAGTTTCAACTTTCATAAGGAGAGTTTTTTAAAAATCAACAAACACATCTTGTCTTGTCACCCAGTGCTAGAAGAAATTGTAAAGAGCAAAACCAAAGTTTTTGATGTTTTATTTTTGTAAGCAGGGTATACTATAACCATGGTCCACATGGAACACATGGGCAGCCAGTTTTCTGCTACTTGAGCCTTGGAGAAAATGAGAAGGAAAGTCTGCCTGTTCTGCCTTTTGAAAAGGTCTGAGACAGACATGAGAGCACTTGGGAGAGGCCACCTTCTCATTCTGATGGCCACCTTTTAAAAAGGGTTAACAGGATTGACCAATGTCATGGTCAGCTCAATTCTTGGCCAGTGGAAAATGATTTGGGCCTGTATATGTTGGAGGAGCTCAGATAGAAAAGGACATGTAAACAGCATGAATAACTACATCTTTGTCTAAAGCACTTAAAAAAAAGTTAAGATCCCAGTGTTACTGGGTGACTAACTGCATGGACATTTGGGGGTTGACTTTGGTTGTGATTGTTCCAGTTGTGGGCTTTGGAGAAGCAAAGTAATGATTATTAGTTGTGTGGGTGTTAAGTCTATGGTTTTGGAATTTGTCACTGGAGTCACTTATTCAAAGTGTGACTTCATAGTAGGGTCACCTCCTCCTATGTTGTCTTTTTCTTTTTTACATAAAATGCATCTGGTCTTCTTACTTAGAAGTTTTATGTTCATTAAAAATTTTTAAATGGGAAGGCCACCAAGATTCATTTAATAGCTGAAAAGCAATTTTTTAAATAGAATAGGATGAATTTAACATGGATGATGTGACCTTCTGGAGAACTTTTTATAGAGAGCTTACATACTGTAATTGGCGAGCATTTTGTCTTCTGTTTCCTTTCAATAGTGGCAAACTGGTGGTTTTATAAAATTAACATTATAGAATGTTATATAAACATGTTATATAAAATAATATTAAAATGTTTAACTGTGAAAAAGTAAAGACTTGGAGTTATCAGCAACCTTTATGTGCAATAAAGAAAACTGAAGTTAGACCCCATTGGAGTGCTATCTTTCCCTAGCATCCTACTTAATGTTTGCCTTTGTGTATATGTTTAGATTGATATTATAAAGCTAGCCACATGTTTTCCTGCCTTTGCTGATATTTAACACATTTTTTTCAAAGCTTTTTCTGTATTTTTTTTTTTTTTTTTTTTCAAAACTCAAAATAAAAGATTAACTGGCTGAACTAATCTTGTTTTGTATTTTAAAAGTATTGTCTGTTAGTAGAAGGGCGTAGTATGATCCTATTCTTTGACTCTTTCCCTCACTGAGAGGCTCTTTTCTAGGTGAAAGCTATTCCTCTCCAGCTTCATTTAGACCAGGAGTTGACAAATTACATCTGGCCCATGGATCCAGTCTGGCCCACTGCCTGTTTTGTAAATAAAGTTTTATTGGCATACACTGTGCTCATTCATTCCCGTATTGCCTGTGACTGCTTTCATGCAGAACTGAGGAATTGTGACAGAAGTGAGCAACTATTTGCTTATAAAGCCTGAACTATTTACTGTCTGACTCTTTACAGAAAATGTTTTTGCCAACCCCTGATTTAGATGCTTGAAAAACTTTAGTTTTAAAATAGGGTCTAAAAATCATGGCAACAGATTTTTGAGATTTAAAAAATGTGTCTTGCCTGGCCAGACATGGCTCAGCGGTTGAGCATCGACCTAGGATCCAGGAGATGGCGGTTCGATTCCTGGTCAGGGCACATGCCCGGGTTGCGGGCTCGATCCCCAGTCAGGAGCGTGTAGGGGGCGGCCGATCGATGACTCTATCATCGTTGATGTTTCTATCTTTCCCTCTCCCTTCCTTTCTCTGGAATCAATAAAGATATATTTTTAAAAAATAAATAAGTAAATAAATAATAAATAAAATTTAAAATGTGCCTTGCCCTGGCCAGTGTGGCTTAGTTGGTTAGGCATTGTCTTGTGCACCAAAAGGTTGCTGGTTTGATTCCTGGTCAGGGCACATGCCTAGGTTGTGGGTTCGGTCCCTAGTAGGGGGCAAGCAGGGGGCAGCCATCGGATATGAGATCGATGTTCCACTCTTACATCTATGTTTCTCTTCCTCTCTCCCTTTCTCTTTTAAAAATCAATAAAAAATATTTTTTTAAAATGTGCCTTAGGGTTAAAAGAACCACTTTAAACTTGATCTCTGCCTGTGAGTTTTCCTGGCCTGAAACAGTCTTTAACAGGTTGTGTCAGATAATTGCTAAGAATCTTGAACCCAACATACAGTTTCCTTTATAGTCTTCATATTACTTTGTATGTAGACTAGCTCTTCATAAAATCCAAAGCTTCCTAGCCAAACAAAACAAATCCTGTCATTAGCATGACTCCAGTCATTTAACAGAATAATTACAAAAACACCAGATAGAACAATTTAAAAGCAAAAATTTGTTTCAGTTCATTAGGGTTCTCTCACCCTAAAGAGAGAAATTACTTTTTAAAAATCAGTTCAGGAGTGGTGGCAAGGGGAGCTAT